TGCCTGAATGTAATCATTGCGTAGGTGTGTAGTGTGATTCTGTGGAGTTTATTTATGGTATCCCGTTGGATTTGACGTCATAAAATGTTTGGAAAGGGTCTTAAAAAAGGTCTTAAAAGGTATTACACTTGACTTCAGGATTCCTGCATATACCCAGATTTAAGAACGTTCTTTCCACACGCTAGATGACATATGCATTTCCCCCGAAGACACTTGAGCAGTTTTGTTTAAACAAGTAACCCTTGAAGTGCTTTAAGGCTTCCCAGAAACCCTTGGACTACTGTAGCTTCACGAGCAATTCAATGAACACAAACCAATTAGTGACATTGTTTGACAATAAAAAGTGATTATGTGAAAAAACTCACCCTAAAAGTGCCAGTTAATAAACCACTAACCAACAACCTCGTTCATTCTTTTGGAAGGCCGTTACCTTTTAGTTTATACAGGTACAATGTCGTAAAGAGTGAAGTGAATTACATCTATGTATTTATTTCTCTCCCTTTTTGATCTGCAGAGAGAAAGTCTTCCGTCTGAAGCCCGTGCTTGACGAACATGTGACCCTCATTAAGGACCTGGCTAACAGCATCGAGGTGCACTTCCTCTCACACACCTTACACCACTTTCTTTACTCACTACGGGGGTTTAATTGGTTTTATAATGGCGCAAGAGGCTAAAGTGGACCTATTTTTGGGTCAATTCCACTTAAATCAAATACTGTCTGCCTTTAATGTCCCTTTACAATAAGAATGTCTTTCCATTTATCACAGTTGGTCAAAAGAAAGACTGAATGTTGGATCTTTTCAACATAATCAAGTGTTTGACTTTGGCGCCATCTGCAGGTTGACTTCTGGAGGCCCGAGAACGCCGAGCTGGTGACCATCGACATCGATGTGGACATCCATGTTCCTGCCATGTACCTGGACATCGTGTCCACCATCCTGCACCAGAACGACATGGAGCACGAGTAGGTCACCGGGTAGAGATGCAAAATACATTCATATCTGATTTCCATTGGACACATGTTTTAAAGGTCTCCTATCATACTGTGTTTCATCAGTATATCACAGGTCTCAGATATATACAGAGCCTGTCTCTGATTGGCTGAAACACAAACAGATCATTGCAGCATTACCCATAATCCCCTCTGTTTCAGCCCTGCTTCCAAAGTGCTGATTCTCTGTCTGTTACTTTAGATGAAAATAAGGAGCCCCTCCCCACGCCCCAAGAGGGGACACATGTTGATATAGAAGAGACATGAAGAAGAGGGGACACATGTTGATGTAGAAGAGACATGAAGAAGAGGGGACACATGTTGATGTAGAAGAGACATGAAGAAGAGGGGACACATGT